ATATTTGGTAGATAACTGCCTAGCTTTCGGTAGGTAGCAGTATGTTCATAGGCTGCACCGCATGGCGACGAAATGTTGCCTGGGGTCGATAGACTATGCACAGTCAGACGAATTGTAACAGTTCGGTGCCAACCCGCGGAGACTCGTTTTATGCGGGGAATGGCCCTTCAGAAGTCGGACAGTTGTTTTTTTCACCATCGTCTTTTCACATGATGCGGGCTTTAGTTGATAAAATAGATGGAGTATCTATTCACCCGGAAAAGGTCATAAAGGTATTTTGTCCAATTCGGTCACTGAACTTTTTTTAAATGGCGAGTTAAGCTAGCACTCCGGAACGTTAGTAACACGACCACTGTTCCGGTGAACTATTTCGCCTTCTCAGGTTATCCCTCTGCAAGTGTCACCCTCGCGTACCTGAGTTCTCGGAGAACGTACTGTTAGTGAGTAAGAAAGGCCCGACACTACGGTAACACCAGTATTTGAAGATAGGGCAGCAGCCCAATCACAGACCATGATAAAACTGCGTTAATTCGCTCTTTCGACTGGAGTTTCACGCGCAAAAACAGGTCATGCGTAAGTGTCGTGCTAGAAGCGGAAGCTACCATACACTTAGTAATAAGACGGGAGTATGAACTCAGACAACCATAACTGTCCTCTAACGCAACAAATAACCTCGACAACCGCTTAGAAGACATAAAAATAGAATGTTAAAGGAAGGTAAAGTTATCTACAAAGCTGGGGGATGCGAATACTCACGTAGGTATGGGAAAATAGAGCCATACGTAATGCATACAAAAATAGGGGGGGGGAGAGAGAGAATGTGAACAGCTATGTTCAGAACATTTTGATCATAGAGAATGACATAAGTGAGGCAGAATAAATTGACCTATACGAAAAGTCCTGAACAGTATTAGCAGTGCCATAGAAAGAATGCATGCAGCCCAATACACATCTTTGGATTGAAATACCAACATGAGTCCCGGCCCTGAGGTGTGATTTTCATCGGCCGGCGTATGATTCTTAGATTTCCACCTGCTACTAACCTCACGCCGTGTAAACGAGTGTGACCAAACACTCTGCTGCTTAGCTCCGGTTTCTGTATCCATACCGTCCTATTAGTGTCTAGTGAGAACAATTAGCTACAAGTACATTTCTACTTTCCAAACTTAAGTAACTTTTTATTTATGTAATTTCTTGATTTTCCCCCACATCAAACCTTGCAGATTCAGGCAGTGGTCAAAGGCGACGAGAGCATCACACGGAGAGCCAGAATGTTGAGTGAACAACTGCCCCCTGATACAGCAATCGGAGATTCTTTGCACCGTAAAAAAAACTCCATCACCATGATGCATTTGGCCCTTGCCGTGCCAATCAGGACTCGGCTTGATGATCGTGGCGCGCAAAGTATTCCTACTAACAAGGCCGCTATAGGGTCAGCTGGGTAACGTAAATCTGAAACCGCCGTGCATCAACTCACGCCCAGAATAAGCATGGCAACGAAGATGGTGAAGGTGGGGTTGGTCTTCCTGCAAGTCTGAATTTCGTTCCACTCGTTTGCAACAAGCACAGTACGCCAAATTGGCACCCCTGTGCCGCCAACTCCCCTG